GTAATAATTTACTGTAATAACGAATATATTTTATCTTTTATTTTTCTTGTTAACGCGAAGTAGCAAAATATAATATTTGACTGCTATTCTAGAAGTTTCATTTTTCCATACAATGAAATATGCTATGAAATTTTTAATCGAGTTTAATATAAATCAAGTTTCAGAATAAAAAATAATGGATATAAATGCTTAATGGAGTTTAGTATAAAAAATAAGCTTGCTTATATGCAGGAAAAATGAAGGATTTGTATCCAGTTTGAAACGATGCTACTTAAAATAAAGTGGTGGTACACAAAATTTTTTTAAAAAAAGTATCAAAAATACGGGGCCTTAAAATATAGGAAAAATTTATTTTATTGCAGTTTACAAAAGCTTCTCTTTATTCTGTAATTGGAACTAAAATCAGTAATAAATTGCATTCCTATAACTGCAGAACTTATAATTATTTTGCAAATAAAATATTAATTCACCAGCATTTATAGTACATGATTATGGACAAGAATTCATTTTCGTATACATAATAAGCATTACTTATTAAATATAACATTTCCACAATCAAGTTTGCTCTAAGAACTATATAGAACTATATTATAACATTAGTCATTGGCATATGATTATTGTTATCAAAAGTAAAAACAAAATTTAGTAAAGTTACTAATTTATTTAGTAAATTTAGAAGTTCAATTATGGTAAAGGAAATTATAGTTTTATAACTATATATATTACTATTCCTTAAAATCCATGGCTTGTTATACTAAAGTGACTTCGATTTCCAAAACATCAATCAAAATATAATTTGTACTAGCTTCATATTAGATCTAAGTTTTTACCCGTTTTCTTTTTATTTAATTCCTTATACAACACAAATATTCCTCAAACTTAAACTCGAAGCTTTAATCTCGCTTGAGTTCAATTAGAAGAAAAACGTAATTAAAACTGATTTCGCATTGCAATTCAAAAACTATATATTTGTCATTTACTATTTTAAAGGAATCCAATATCATTGCTTAAATAATAAAAATCAACAAAAGACGGACAATCTTTGTAGATTTTTTTCCTTTTATTAAAGTTTTAAAAAAATTATTCAATGAACTACTTTTTGTTCTTGTTTTTGTTATTGTTTTGTTTGTTCTTGTTTTATTAAATATCCTGAATCAATTTCAATTGCATTATACATTGAAAAAAAACTACTTTCTAAACTATCAGAATATGGTAAAATATACCATGCTTCTGTTTCTATGGAAGCACTGAAAAAGACCTGTAATTTTTACTGAAGCGCTTAGAAATGATTCTGGGTAAATAACAATAACATATGGTTTTATAATATCTAAATTTGATAAATGTGGTAAAATTTGGTAATTTTATCAAGATACTTGAGAGCATGTCATAAAAATTAATTCCGTTAAATTTACTTTTCAGTTATATATTTGTTTGTAATGTGTGAAAAACTATAATTTTGAAAATAAGGATTTCTGATAAAGCGCTATAATATAAAAGGAAAAATTAACAAATTAATGGTCTAAATACCTTATAATTTGGTTTTTATTGCCAAAATTATGTATTATTAAAGCAAAATTTCCTTATCATACAGTACGGTAGTTTTATCATAGTTTTTTTCCTCCGTGCACAAAACTAATTCATTGAATTATCACTAATACTAAAAGTACAAGCCTACCGGCAAAAATATTTTTTTGAAAGAAAAAAAAAGAACTCAAACATTGCGTAAAAACTATGGTAATAATTCAACGCGTATGTAGAATAGAAAATGTAGTAGAAAAACAAGAACCATTCAATGAAAATACATATTTATTTTAATGATACGCTCCATGAAATGTTCTGGTTCGTGGAGCGATAAAACATACAACAATAGAATTCATATGCGATGGAAAGCAAATACAGAATTTCGTAATATGGAGCACAAGCAATGTATCAGAGCATGCTGAACAAATGTATCCAACTAAAATTATGCTGCTGATAAAAAAGTACTCTTCGCTCTTAAAGGAATTATTCAAAATGTGACCTATATCTGAATAACATCATCAAAGCTGGAGGTGACATTAGACGAAATATAGCGTTTTTCCACCCTTCTCTTTGCTAATTGTTCCATTTACGCGCTATCCTTTTAGTAGCGTTTTTTATGATTCATGCTGTATTCGCAAAAGCTAAAGAAAACTTTTGTCCTGTGTCTGCGGTGGTTATGCCCACTAAAACGTTATAATGCTTGTTCAGTTTCGAAATAGTCTAATTTTCGGATTTTCTTTTTTTCTTTTAGCTTAAGTATTGTTCGAGTTAGAAATATTACTTTTCTTTCGTACTTTTAAACACCAATCGTAAATAAATAGAGACGTTAAATGATTAAAGAAGGGCACCACACCGAAAAACAATCTGGTAAAATTACCGTACTGCATGGTAATAACATTTTTAGTAAGAAAATAACCATAATTCTAGTAATAAAAATCAAACTATGGGATATTTAAGCCATTTAGTTCGTAATCTTTCCGTTAATATGGCAACAGTTTACCGGAAATTCTGGTTTTCAGAATTATAGTTGTTATTACCACACATTTGATCAAAAAATATAAAACTGAAAAGTAAATTTAAATGAATAAATGTTCCTTATGCCGTGCTCTAAGGTATCATGATAAAATTTCAAAATTTCATAGCATATTTAAAAGCAATATTTTATTGTCAATTTTACCAAAATAATTACCAAAGTTCTTCGGTAAAAATTACTGAACTTTTCGGTATTTCCACAGAGTTTGAAAAACTGTAAATTTTACCATATTCCGGTAGTTTTGATAATACTTTTTTTCTCTGCGTATGATGATTATCTGAGTTAGAAGAATTATTCCTCGCTAAAAATTTTAAAACTTCAACGTCAATAATGGATAATGCAATTTCCTACAAATACATAGAAATAAGCTGGAGTAATTTCTACAAATTTGTGTCGCAAAGATCCTCCAAATTGGAAAAATTATTCCTTGCTAATGATTTGAAAACTCAAACTTAAATATAGTATAATGCAATTTTTTAAAAGAAAAACGTAGAAATTATCGGGAGTTAGCTAAAATTTGTTCAAGTTTGAAAAATTGTTGTTCGTTAAAACTTAAATACTAAATAGATAATGCAATTTATCAAAATAAATGTGTATCTATATATATAGAAATTAGTAAGATTTTAATTTATAAATTATTTCTACCACAAGACTTCATTAAGTTTCTGAATTTCCTTAAAACACAAATTTCAATGGTGTTTACTTTTTTTTTTCATCTTACGTTCTTATTTCGCGTCAGACATATTTTATAATACTGTTTCATCTGTTTCCCTTAAATAACGAAATACCACGTAAGTTCGGTTCAAAACAGCCGATTGCGATAATTGTGCATTAAATTCGATGTTAACTCAACTGATATAAATTGTAAACATTACCAGTGTTCGTGTTAAAGTGGCTGTTTCCGAGGCATTAATTTTGACTAAAGAGCACTTTGTAATCAGGGGTGTCCTAGTAATTGTTTAAATTCTCCCAAATGTTTAATTCACGAATGACCTCATTGCAGGGCTGGTATTCTGTTATCATTTTCTTTAATTCTATAATTATATTCTGATTTTGTTTTATCTGGGCGTTTCACGGTTTAAATCATACGTTACAAACTCAATTATCTGTTGAAGAAAATTTTTTTGCGAAGTAAGAATGTTAGTTGTAATGATCAAAAATGACTTTTAACGACAAATTGGATTAATCGGACCATTCTGCTCATAATCTTTTGATAATTATTTTAGGTGTGATAGTTGTTAAAGGGCATTTTAATATTTCTATATACATTAACTTGTTCCCTTTTCCAGAATTAAAGTTTCAGAGTGCGCTAAATGTTTTATTTTGTCATTATTCATTGCTTCTTGTTGTTTATCCTTTTTATCATAATTTTCAATAAAACATCCTAATTAATCATGGTCTATTAAGAGATTTTAAATAGCCGTAGAATACTTCACTGAATTATGAAAAATTATTAATTATTAATATAAATTACTAATTATAAATTATTAATTAATTTTTTTCGCCACCTCTCTATAATTGACAATGGACACTCTTCAGTGTTATGAGAAAATAGTTTTCTTAGACCGATTCAAAGCTTAGTTAAAGACGAAGAAAAATCAAAGTATTGTACCAAACTCTTCCCTGCTGTGTAGCAAAGATGAGAAATTTTAATAATTTCCCTTAATTACTCTAGGTCCATCAAAAAAATATTTATCATCAAAATGACCAGCATTCGAAAGAGAGGGTGGTTAAATCTTAGGTGATTAAACAGCCTCAATAGCGATCTAAAAAAGAAACTGCGTAGAAAGACAAAACTAAAGAAAGGGTCACTTTGTATCAATTTTTGAAAAAGGCTGAGGCCCATCTTGATCTGTCGTAACTGAGGGAATAAAGAAGGAACTTCAAAATACATCTTAATTCAATAATACAGCGTAATTCAATAAAAAAAACAGAAGGAAGAGCTGGAAATATATAAGCTAGAAGCACATTTTTCTATTTTATCTTCTTAGCAACATTAGTTAACTCTTAGATTAATTTATCTAATTATGATGCATTTTTACTTTTTTACACCAGATCGGAAAGTTTGTTTTCCGCTTTTATTCTTTCATCTTAAATTCATTTTCATTTTAATTTTTTTTCAAATTTTTTTGTGACATAGACGCATTGGAGAAAATAACTTTTATCTTATTCTTTAATTTGAAATGTCGCTATTCGCCATGTAAAGGAATGCGTCCTGATGAGAACATACGTATTTACACCAATTTTTTTAATTATTTTTCTAACTACATATATATACATATAATCCAGGAATAAANTCTTCAGTGTTATGAGAAAATAGTTTTCTTAGACCGATTCAAAGCTTAGTTATCACAGAAATAATTTATTCAAGTGCTTTGATTAAATTATTAAATTCTTAAATAATCATATATTTTAATTTTCAATGGTGTTTCTTTTCTTCTTGCAGCTCAGATGAAGGTAATGGAAGTAGAGTTAGTAAGGCAGAGAACAATAGTAAAGACTAAGGAAATACAAAAAGACAAACGCAGTAACACCATCTGGCAGAGAGAAAAAACTAAAGTAACCATTACTTCATGGTATTCTTCAATTTAAGAAATAAAATATTTAGAAATAATTTTATTTTGTGAAAAGAAAATTTTTTTTTTAAGTAATTCGATAAAATGCATTTATGAAGTTAATTTTAGCTTAATTATTTATTCATTTTTTAACTCCTTTTTTTTCAAGGTTTGAACCAATTTTAAAATAGTTCTTAAATTTACTTCAGTTCAAAGCGAAATTCTAATTTCTCATAACTTCATGCTATTGATAAATAAATTGTGGTTATCAATAAAGTGAAATATTTTTTTCTTATTCATAAAAAAAATATTTCTTTACTTTTCTAATTTTCTTAATTATCATTTTTTTAAAGTGCGGTTGCAGCGGTTTTGAAACAAGACTCTTAAGCTCCCTCAAGAGGAAAAGATAATTAAAAATAATACAATAGGTTTACATATTATGGATTCTACAATTCTCTTTCTATTCAGTTTAAACATTTATGTAAGATAAAAAATTAACGGAAAATTCAAATTGTGAGCTATTTAAATAAATCTCAATTCAAATTTACTCTTTTCCAATGTTTAAACTAACATTTTTCTCCTATTTGATGAAAATATCTTTTTTATCTTAATTTTTATATTTACATACAAATACAAATATTAATAAAAATTAAAATGCTTGATGAAATTATAAAAGCAATACAAAAATGAATAAAAGCAAAGCAAAAACTCATATTTAATATATTTCCACATATTTTTATTTAATTTTATTATTTTTGTAAGATAGTAATAAAGGTAAAGTTTAAATTATGAAATATTTTTAAATATTTAAAAAAAAATTGGGTTTTTATTTATATTTAAATTTTTACATATTTTTTCATTTGATCAAGATACATCATGTTCTTCCTACTTTTCCTTGTATCAATTGTTATATGTATAGCTTTAGATAACTAGGAGGCTCTACCACCAGTTCGCTTCGCCCTCCAATCTCCGTGATTGCTTCTCATTCACCGTTGAAGATCAAGGGGAAAGAACAATTTATGTCCATTTCCACAAAAATAATGATTAGATTGTCACCTGTTCTATTTTTAGGATGTTTTAATTTTGGCAAATCAAAAAGATGGAAAACTGATACCCCCCTGCCATGCTGAAATACGCATAACATATTTCCTAATATTTAAAAAACAAATTATTTTCTTATTTAAATATTTTTCAATATATAAAAATCATTCATATAATCTGTAATCTTTTTATACCACAACCTTGAGTTGACAGCAGAATAAAATCTATTTTTAGCAATTTTCTGTTCTTGCCTAACGCATTAGCATAGAATTCGGAAACCTTTATGTAGTTGCTAATGTTTTGGATTCATTAAAATTCTCCATTATTTCTCACACACTCTATAAAATATATAAAAATTTAAAATATGTACGACTTACGTCCGGAGGACTGATGACTCCGTCCACCAACAAATCAAAAATGCGAGTGTAATTATATACGTTAGCTCAGTTTTCGCCAAGGAAAGTTGAGGAGTCCATGTATTGGCTTTGCGAGTGTAATTATATACGTTAGCACAGTTTTCGCCAAGGAAAGTTGAGGAGTCCATGTATTGGCTATGCGAGTGTAATTATATACGTTAGCTCAGTTTTCGCCAAGGAACGTTGAGGAGTCCATGTATTGGCTATACGAGTGTAATAATATACGTTAGCACAGTTTTCGCCAAGGAAAGTTGAGGAGTCCATCTATTTGCTATTAATTGATAAAATTTAATGCCGAGGCTCTTTTTCTTATCCTTACGCATTCTTGGCCCTACGTGTATAAGTGAAGAGTGTATAATAAGAAAGTGTGAGAAATAATAGAGAATTTTAATGAACCCAGATCATTAGCAACCATAAGATGGTTTTCGAATTCTATGCTAATGTGTTAGTCAAAATGAATAGGGAATCTCTAAAAATTGATTTTATTCTGCACTTAAGGTTGTGGTATAAAAGGATAACAGATTATATTAATGATTTTTATATATTGAAAATGCATTAGATAAGAAAATAATTTGGTTTTTAAATGTCAGGAAATATGTTATGTATATTTCAGCATGACACCGCCTCTCTTCCTTGAGAGTTATTACTCAGTGATGATTGACCGTGGTGTGGAAAAACAGTTTCAATTCTTGCGTAAATTCGTTTTTTTCGTCAGATATTATATGTTATTTAATAGTGAGATATTGTCTAAGGGTACAACACTTACAATATCTTATTGTCATACAAAATAGGATTTCAAACTTTAATGTGAAAGACTGTACGTTTTTAGGCATAAAATAATTACGTATTAATTAATTAGCTATGATTTATTATTGCTATGTATGATTCATTATTCACTATGTTACATTTATGAAATATTTTTTTTATACCGTAAAAGCGTTAACATCTGGCCACGTTATTTTTGGAAACATTCGCAAAAAAAACTGTTTTCTTTACAAATTATAGTAATGAACAAAATTTCTTTTTCATTCATATCTTTTATTATCTCATAAATTTTTATTTATTTATTTTGTTCTCAATTACTTTTAAATAAAAAACTGAAGTACTTAATTAAAAATTTGATATGAAAATTCACTCAGTTCTCCATCGGTTTGAATTCTGTTGATTACCTCCAATTGTGAAGCAATTCTTTATTGTCATGTCCACCCACTTTCATCATTCTTCTTCACGTGTTGAATTTTACGCCCATGAATTCGGAACATGTCTTTTTTTTTCTTTCTTTTAATTGCGACCCTCAGACAATGGTTTCATTAAAATTCCCACCGCATTCAAAACGTATCGTTGTGAAACGTGCTTATTTATGTCTCATAACCTTTTAATAATCTTAACTGGTATCCCAATCTATTTTTTTCACATGTTTTACTGTTTATTAATTTTTTTTCTTGCAATAGTTTTTTATCTTTACTTTTTTAGTTAAGAATCTTTTATTTCCCTTTAACTACTGTTACTTAACCAGTGTTAGATTTTGTAAAGTTATATTTTTATAGAGAATGATTAAATTATCTAAAACTTATCTGGTTTAAGTTAAACAGATTTTTGGACTAACTAAAATCAGTTTTTTTTTATATCATATTAATTTGCTTTAATGTAATAAACTAGTCGACGAATCCCCGTTCGTTTGGGTCCCCGGCCCACTTGTTTGGCCATGCTTGCCTAACAAACGGACTTTTTTAGTTTACTTTTTTAGTTAAGAATCTTTTATTTCCTTTTAAATACTGTTACTTAACCAGTGTTAGATTTTGTAAAGTTATACTTTTATAGAGAATGATTAAATTATCTAAAACTTATCTAGTTTAAGTTAAACAGATTTTTGGACTAACTAAAATCAGTTTTATTATATCATATTAATTTGCTTTAATGTAATAAACTAGTCGACGAATCCCCGTCCGTTTGGGTCCCCGGCCCACTTGTTTGGCCATGCTTGCCTAACAGAATTTTAAGTTTATTCAAGATTTATGGTTTATTATGTCATACTCGAACTAGAATAGGATACTTACAAGTGTCGTTATCATAGGTAAATCATGCCATTTGTATATTCAGAAGCCAATCAGGTTCGACACACAAGCATGACGTCACTTACAAATATTCAATTAAATCAGATTTAAATCACACAGTCAGGCGTAATCACTTTTCTCTTCTCGAGATACAAGTACCTAATTGTAAACCTTTATAGAGGTTGCGTTTTTGAAACGGAACTAAGATTCGGTGTATTGCTAAATTATATAATTTCTGTTGGAAAGATAAATAACATATTTTTTAATTTGATCCTAATTGCAAATAACTTTTTTTTAAACTTGAGATTTTATTATTTACTTGAGCATAATACTGAATCTACGCTTCTTTAGCTACGCTATCACAGCTATCTTCTAAGTATGTTATGGATACCGTTTAGCCTTTTAATAATTATTTATAATTTTTTGAAGTTATTCATTCGGTTAATTGTGCAATGTTTATTGACTACAAAATTTAACTATTAATAGAGAATTATAGTGTTTGAAAATAGAATCGGCTTTTCAAGGTTACGCGATTACCCGGCGTTTCTTCTCTCCGTTACCAGGGTATCCACAAATCTTGCATTTTTTTCCAACGTCTGTACGTTATTATAATAGTATTATAATAGTATTATAATAACATACAGTTAAAAGTTATAGATACTCCTTAATTGACATGTGAATAAACAAAATAGCGTTGCTGCCTGTCACATCGTTACCAAGCGGCGAAGGTAGAAAATGTGACCTTGAGACGCCAATTTAAATTGCAAGGAGTATAGATGCATGAGTGCGTGAACTGTTATTCATAGTTGAATTGTTACAACGTAATAAATTATTATCTAATGCTTATATTTACAGTATTTAAATTACAGGCATTAAAAAAATTGACAAAGGAAATTAACCTTCGTTTCTGTGCATATGAAGAAAAAAAAACGAATAGATTCAATAATTTTTTATTTACATTTAAAAGGTCCAGTTTTCCTCTATTTTTTTAAGTGGTCAGCAAGTGTATTCAAGTATTCATCATTATCGTTTTACAAATTTACCAATCCATTCTCTCTATAACTCTGCCGTCTGCTGTTTAAAGTCACTTCATCGCATTCTGAATCAGAGGGAGCCTGTTGGTTAAACACGTCGAAATTGAATTGGCCCAAAAGATAAAACTTCATATGCTCGAAGTCCCCGACGTTTGTTGTGCATGGCTTTTTTCATTATTTGCAAAATGTTGCAATAAATTCTACATGCCCCGCAATTGGCGAGAATTTGAATTTCGCACATTTTATGACGCTCTAATCAGAAAATGCACAGACTTTTCCTAGGATGTCTGGAAGCTTACAGAATCACAGATTTCTTGATGTAACAATGATTGCGTTCCGACTGCTTTTTCAAGAGCCATGCTACGACAGAGATTAAGTTCCAAATTACGCACGTAAGAATATTGTTTTAAATTCTAGAACATTAGCAACAAATGATACTGCGCTAAAAGGAAATGTTGTTGTAAAAAAATATTTGAATATTTTTTACTAAAATGTTTATTTATAAATAGCTTCCCGATATTTTAGCGAATTTTAATTTTGCGCCCTTTATGCTATTTTCTATTTATGGTTTTTTCGTCATTTTGCTACCAAAAAAGGCAGAGTGGCAGTTGAAACTTCAGGGTTATTATTAAACATTATACTGCAAACTATACGAAAAAACAACGCATTTTAATTGTTGAAAAATAGTTTGATAATCGTCAGGCCGTTTACTGGTCCAGTTTTGATGGCAGATTATCCATTCCGATCATACAATTTAGCACAATTGAACTTTTTACTTTGTAAGTTTTTGAAAGTCTATCACCTACGCTTGTGTTATGCGAGTGCCTTATCAATGAAACTCATCGACATATGTGCGAAATGGTCATTGAAAATTTCGTATTTAACAGCAAAGATTTTTTTTTAACCTATAAGTGCATTTACATAAAAAACCTATACTGTATTCTTTATGAATCCTTAAAAACTTGCAAATTTTATCTTAAAAAACTGTATTTTCTACCAAAAATGTTAGTGAAAGTTTTGAGACACTCTGTATATATTTCTGATAATTTCGCATTTCGTTTTCAATGCCATGTCACATTACCCTTAATTAATATTTACTTTAACCGATACTGATATTATTTATTCTAGGTAATATTTTAAGCCCTTGAGAACATTCCAAACCACAAAATTGTTTTTGTTAGTTCTATGCATTCAAGATTCTACAGACCATTTTTGTTATATATAAAATTGTTTTTTTGAAAAAGAATAGCATTGAACAATGATTGATTTATACCATTTTCTTCCAGGTCTCCACTCAGTATGCTAGAGATAAACTCAAAGTGCCAATCCTAAAACCTCAGAAACAAAAGCAAATAACAGTTACAAAAAATGAAAAAGTGCTAACACATAGAACACAAATTCAGAAGAACAATAAACTGAAGGAGAAGACAAAATACTCGAAGGAAAAATCATTGGTATTTCAATCTTTCACACTTTACATTATTTGTTTTGACATTGTACAACTCTATTGCTTCTTTATATAGTAGCTTTCTTTCCATGTCGCCAGAAGTATGAAAAAAATTAATACTAAAACTCTCAAATAAACATATAGAGCATGATTAGGTTCAGTATACAAGCTGTCAGAGTAGGTAGGGCACATCATAAGCATAGAGAATTGCAATGCAAACTACGACCGGAACTATAGTCGTACATCAGTAAAGGCGCTTTTTTATTTCAGACTAACTCTTCATGCATATTTGAACTGGTGTTTTTATTTATTTAAATTATCTCAATTTAAGTTAAATTTATGTTTTCTAGTAATTGTATACAAATAGGTTTGGAAAAAAAACTGTAGTATAGTAATTTGCTGATTTAGCAGACAGATTGGCGAGCAATGAAAGTTAATCGCCAAATCAATAAAATATGATACAACCGATGAACCTATATGAATGCAATTTAACCCTCTGTCGCAAAATTTTATTAAACACATTTTTCCTTATTTTGTATTAATTTAGGTAAAAAATAAGTGAAACATATACTATTTAGCATTTTAATAGTTGATAGTAATGAAATACAGCATGAAACTTTCAAATAGGGCTCACTTCCCAAAATTTTTTTTTTGTTTTCCAAATTTACTCTTATTTGCAGTTATTTAGATCTAACAGAAACAGATATTAATCCTTGAAATATTTTTTAACTTAGAAAATCAATTTTTGAATATAAATGGAGAAAAAAAAAAGCTACTTTTTTAATTTTGTTCTTAATTAAATTTTTAATTTTAAAATGTAATTCAGATAGTCTAACATATTTTTTAGTAAATATTAGTGATTTTTTATAATTAAAAAATATCGAAATATATTTTTACTTATAATTAGAATGTCAGGAAAAACAAATATGTAAATGGTACATCGGTGTTTCATCTGCTTCAAAGGGTTAAAACAATAATTATTGAAAAAAATAAAACTAGTTACAAATTAGGATAATTTAGATGAACAAAAATACCGATTCAATTGTGCACGAACATAAATACATAACCTATAATAGGCATGTGCCCCTAACGGCGTAGGATGATACTTCCAATCATTCCGATCATGGGTTGCCTTGAAATTCTTAATCTTTATGATATGGCCTACATTTCAGGGCTTGTCACGCAAATACAGATTTTCTTTTTTTGTTGTACCAACGTCATTTTTAATTTGCAATGTTTGATGTAAAAACATGACCACTAAAATAGGCAGTGCAATGTTGTAGACACTGTTGCGATGTTGTAGAGAAGCTGGCATGATACCGGCNTGGTTCAAGAGGTCCACGAGGGAAAAATGCACAATATTACCGTGATTACAGAGCACGGAAGCGAGCGGAGCAGGAAAAAGAGTCGTTGAATAGGACTAGTGATCCTTCTACGACTGCTGATTCTTCTACAATTAACGTCGCAGGTTGCGAAGTTTAACTTCTTCCGCGAGGAGGGCCTCCACGCACTATTTTTTTTTCATTATTTTTCTTTTAATAATTTTATCTTTTATAAAAATTATATTAAACTTTTGGTGCTTTGATATAACAAATAGAGATTACTTGCGGAACCCTTGTCAAAGTTTTAGGGAAAGTGTTCCTCTGAATCCAGGTTGAAGGCCTCTATTTTACTCAAGTAAAATGAAATTGTAAGAAATAAATGTACAAAAACAGCGATTAATATTTTTAACTTGCTCGCTGACGCAATGTTTCATGTTAAAACACGAGATCAGTTAAGCAGTTCTCGAGCTATAAGATTTAAAGGAAACGTTACAAAAAATAATGGTAAAATAGAGTCCTAAAAATATCTTAAAAATTATCTAGCTTACACAAGCATGAATTTAGAAACATATAACAAGATCATGAAAATAATGGACAAGAAAAAAAAGAGCAAAACAATTTTTGGAACGTTGAAGAATGAGTTGGTTTCTGTTGAGAACAGTTATAGTTCGTATATAAGGTTTATGCTAACCCATTACGGATCTTTCAATTTACTTTTCCAAGGTTTATACTAAACCGGTACGGGTATTTAAATTTATATTTGTAAAGTTTATTTTAATCCGCTATTGGAATTTAAATTTAATTTTGCTTGTTGATTGTAATTGATGCTACGAATAAATGTTTATTTTTTTAATTATTTATTTAATTATAAAAATCTGTCGCTTTAGTAAAGCTTGATTCGTTACAGTCGTTATAGAAGATCATGATTTAACATTGCTATATTCTGAAAACTACTCGATAAATTTATTTCAAATTATTTTTCCATCATCGAAATTCCCATTAATAAGTGTATTCAATCTTTTTTTTTTTTTTTTTTTTAAGAAAAGAAGAAACTTAATCGTTTTGGTGCATTTTATTTTTTAACTTTTTCTATTGTAACTGTCCTTGGCTTTTTAAGATACAATATCCTTTGGAGAGCGCAGGGAGTATGGGTGGGGACTCGTAGTTATGACAATTTTTTTGATTAAAAAATAAATATTTTCTTCATTATTCATAATAGTTTCTACAGATATTCATAATTTTTTCTTAAAAAATTGCATAAATACTTTTCTCGATTAAATAGAAATGCAAATCAGAGGCTCTTGAGCAGGAGGGTATCTCTACTGACCTAGCATTGATAGTAAGATCCTATTAAATTTTATTCTAACTTTTATATGATGGTAATCCAGGCAAATTGGCAGCATTTTTCTCAACTGAATTTTTCAGTCTCCCTAACAAAATTCTTACATTTCTTTAATGGAATCTTCATTATCCTCCCAAAATGATTAAAGATTAGTTTCTTTTGTAAAACAACTAATTTTGCTGCATTAAGAAATAACTAATTAAAGACGAACTTTAGGAAAATCACCATGTTAGAACAAGTATATATTTTAGAATATCAAAATTTTAACAATCGAACTACGATTTTTTAACTTTATTATGATGCAGTGCTGCCATCTGGAAAGTGCGAAAATAAATACTAACTTAGCTGAAATCACAAACTCGTTATTTTAGTGTTGTAGTCCCTACCTGGGTGTTACTTCGTTTTTCTTCAAGAGAACAGCGAGATGCTAAGAAGGAGAGCTAAATTAAGGCTTCATTTTTAATCATTTAATGTGACAAACCGCTTTAAAGCGACTATATTATTCTTCAAAAATATACGTATTATGAATAAGTGTGTTTTCTTTCATGATATTTTATAATAAATAATTCCATTTTAAACCATCTCAACTCAAATGAGCGTACGAGTGTTACAAATATCTAATAATAATAATAATAATACAAGAGCTAATTTACTAATTTGTTTCATCGTATTTTGAAACATCGTTTTTTTGAAACTTATATTTTAATCAAAAATATTATTGATTAAATGTAACTGTATGATCCAAATCGCTAGTTATTCCTTGGGGTTTTTTTTTTAATGTGTTTTTAAACTTTAATGAAAATTTAAAATGAGGTGCGTATCGGTTTTTTTAATTCAGATGTTTTAATAAAACAAATTCTACTGTTATTATACCATATCAAATCTTTTTTTAGCTTAAGATTTTCACGAATTTTATTTTATATATTAAATTTTTGTAAGAATAAAATTTTATGTGTATGCTTTTAAATATAAAAGCTAGTTATAAAGATGTTTACATCTAATTTTAAAGTTTCGTTGCAAATTTTCGTAAAAGATTTTAAAGTGAAAACATATTAATAAAGCACAGTTAATTTCTAATTACAAATACAAGTTTTTTGCAAAAAAAATTTTTTTTTGTAGGTTTTTACATTTAAAATAACCATAATTAATCTCTCTTTGATTTTAAATTACATAATATCTTATAATAATTCATAAAATTCATTTATACAAATTTAAAAAATATTAAATTTTTTTATTTTTTAAATTTTTTTTATCAAATTCATCCCAGATGTTGATAATTTCATTTCTGTAATATTAAAAAAATTGTTTAAAAAAAATCAATTTAAACTTCAAGGAAATAAAATATTTATTATAGTGTTTTTTAGCTACACAAATAGATTCATAACAGGTATATAAATTTCAATTTTACTAGAAACCACCAAATTACTAACTTGGAGGGCTGCAGCTCAATCAGTCAAATTATAGTTACACCCTTGCGTAAACGCATCTCTCATAAAAGCTTCAACTCTCACATTTTCATGTTTCTCAGTATGAATTTGAAATTTTATAATTGAAATTAAACTATGGAAAAACTAATCGCATACTTGCTAAGATCTCAATATATTAATTGTCTTAACAGTTTATAACCCGATCATTTCATAATCTATTCTCTGATTACAAATTATTAATGGTTGATAAATTATAAAACTAAAACAGCCTATTCAGTTTTAAAAAATAAGTTCAATATATAAGTAAAATCTGGTACATATGACTATAATAACTTATTAATCTATAAAACCATGACTCTTCCACAAATTATAAAAACTTGTTTTTAAATAAAGTTTCTTAAACTGTATATATAGATGTTTGTTTAGATCCGTTAGAGACCTTTTGATTGAAAAACTATTTGCAATATTTTTAAAATTTTATTTCTGTTGCATTTTATAAATTTTATTTTTGTTTTGTTTGAAACAAGAATGTACAATATTTTTAACAAAGTAGTTCTTTAATCATTATATTAGATTAAATCTATTCCATTTAACCGAAATTTTAGATTTTCTAACAATTGCAGATGAATATTTACAATAAATTATTTTTTAGAATGAGATAAATGTACGTAATTTGTTTTACATAGTGAAAATAACTTTTTATCTCTAAACTGTATGAAATTTGAATATGTAGGACTCTTTATCGGTTGTGGGTGAAATGAATAAGATCCATTTATCCATACACCATTTTTGTTATAAGGATTATATGTTCCTCGGGTGTGGTTTTAAACAATAAAACCTAAACTGTAAGAGGAAAAATGATAGGTTAATTATACAGAGTGTTCGCTAAACTTGAATTATGAACAATATAAAATAGTTTTAAATTATATATATTTTAAATATATA